CGGAAACAGATGGTGTGAAGCTTTTCACCTGGAGAGTGAATCGCCACTGCACTGTGTGGCGCTGGGGTGGGTGGGGGAGAAGTTAACTGCAGGGGAGCGGGCAGACACACCAGCTGACAGGTTATGATAAGATTGTCAGAGTCCAGGAAGGGACAAAGAGCACTGGGGACACTTTTCTTCTCAGCACTCAAGAGACTGGGGCAGAGGATTTCAAGTTTGGGGGCAGCCTGGCCTATGTAGGGAGATTTTGTTTCCAAAAATGTCTTTTCAAGCAAAGGTCTAACGTAAACAAGCTTGTCCAGCATGTCCTCTCGTTGACTCTTAGCTCACCCTGACACCTCAGTATAGAGTGACGGAGCACAGCTGTGACGTTAGGGAAGATTGTGTCATATGGACCAGTAGACCTGTGTGTGACAACGCTCAAAACTTGTTACCTTGTTTCCACCTTACAAATTTACACCCAGATGCTGCTTGCCGCCCCTTTCCCCATGACATAGATGGATTTGCTGCCACCATACAAATACTCCTTAAGCTTTCCAGACTTTGGGAGCTACTGAGAAGTAAACTGACTTCTTTTCCCAAAGGTGATATAGACTTGGTTCAGCTCAGTGGGATCAGTGGCCTGCAGGAACCTTGGCAAACATGGCAGAACTTTCTTTCAGAAATGTTAAGGAGACCAGTGTCTATGTAGTATATAGTTATCCTTGAGAAAACCCAGATAAGGTGAGTCCTGAAAATTCTAGTGGCAACCTTGTATGAGGCTGGACCACCAAGGTTTGGGGGAGGGGTGTGTGTAGTTACCATTTAAATATCACTGAAATAGTTGGGAAGGTGAGCCAATCCTGTGCATAGCATTTCTGTATCAGTTTCTCCTAGAAGTGAGAACAGGTATGGATGAAACAGCACTGTTGAGAGTGACTGCTCCCGAGAATTTATTCCTTTTTATATCAGAAAATACAGTGAAGATGGGCATGGTGGCCCAGCATTTGAGAGATAAAAATGGGGACCAGGAAGTTTCAGGTCAGCCTGGGCTTTATAAACCCAATGTCATAAAACTGAACTAAAAATAGAAACACATCTGTCCAAACTTCTGTAATCCCCTATAGTGAGCCACTGCACAGCCTGAGGCAAACTCTTGACTTGCTGTGCCAAGAGCAGGGCTGGGCCCATGCTGGCTCTTGGTTTTCTCATCTGTAAAATAGGACCTGAGCACATGCAGCGCCAAAGAGGCTGTGTAGGTGGGCAGCTGACTTTGACAGCAGCTGTGCATAGGGCAGACCTGTGCCCAGCCTGGGCCACTGCCAGGAACACATCCTTTCTGCCGCTGTAACTCTCGGGTTGATTGGCAAATATCAGAATGGCCATAAAGCAAAGAGGCTCTTGAGACAGCAGCAAGCATGGTGTCTTGCTGGAACAATTCAGCGGTGGGGCTGGGCTGTGCCGCTGTCCATTTGTATTTGTACAGATGCAGGTCCACCCAGCTGGTGGGGGACGGTGGTAGCACTGGATACACTGAGTGCAAGCAGCAGGCTGTCTCAGAAGATCCAGGGAAATGGTGGGGACAGCTCTGTTTAAATCATTTCTTTTATCACATGGTCAAATTTTCCAATATTTAAACCTCTGAGCAACATTTTGTGGCACATCGTAGGCTGGCTATGCAAGCAATCAGTTCTTTTCCCTATTATATTAAAATGTATTGTTTGGGGTAAATTTTTAAAATATGAGGTGGAAATACTTGAGTCTGTGCTCTAGAGTTGCTCCTATGTGATATGAGCATTATTATTATTATTACGTGGTGGATCAGCAATAAAGCCCCAGTGTTCTACAGAAATGTGTTGTTCACAGTGTTTTGCTCTGGCTCAAATGCAAAGTAACATTCTATTCACACTTTGTAGAAAGCAAAGTGCCCGTGAAGGTAGTAGTAAGTTGGGGCGTGGGTGACACTGACACCAACAGAGTCCCTGGACAGTTGCAGTGGGCGGAGACCAGCTGTACACGGCACATGGTGAGACCTGGAGTGACCGCACTGGGGGAGGGGAGGGAGGATAAAAGCACATTTAAAACCCTGCCAGTGGTCTGTGTCGAGCTGAGCAAAAGTAGCAGCAACTTCATATAAGGGCGGAGGGGACAGGTTAGGGCTGCCTGTGGTTACTGTTCTCTGCCCTGACAGGCAAGAGCCTTGCATGTGCTAGGCAAGTGCTAACTCCTGAGCTTCCTCCACAGCTTCCTCATTGTTCAGTTGAGTGGGATGTACTGTAATAGGGATGCTGTTCTGCAGCCCCTCCCTCACCACCAGTCCTCTTAGGTAATGCCTCCTGCTAACTCGTGGGTTTTTGTTTATTTCTGAGACAAGGTTCTGGCTAGCCTGGAATACTCATTGTAGACCAGGCTGGTCTCAAAGTCACAGAGATCTACCTGCTTTTGCCTCCTGATCATGCGTCCACATCTAGCACTCCTAATAACGTCTGGAAACATCTCTTACCTCTACTTAAGAACCTTAACACAGAGAATTAAGGATAGCTAAGAATAATAACATTAAACAAATAGCTGAATACATGTTTTCATTAAGAAAAACACCAGGAAGAAATAACCACAAATAGTTGCTTACAAAAATAAATTGATTGTAGCTTTGGGCTATGTGTGATGGACGGTTTACTCTGGGTCCTTCTCTGGTGGGACAACTTCCATCAGCAACTGCAGGTGCTTGGTGACCGGCCCTGGAACAGAAGCCAAGGCAAAAATGCAGTTAGAACAGTGTGGTCACAGGCTTCCCTTTTCTGACTCTGGCAACATGCTCTCGTCTCCTGAGAGCTGCCCCACTCACTGCTCAGCTTTCAGGTTGGTTATTTCCCTACAGGATAGGGACTCGCAATTTTGTTTTCTCCCCCACAATGCACACTGCAGGGAGAACAAGACTGTTATGTGTTTGCAGCTAAGCTCTAAGGAATCTGAGGGACTACATTTTGTTTATTTTTTTTTTTTTTTTTGCTTTACTTTCACCAGCTTAAGGCACTTCAGTGGTTTTTGTGCTTTGTTTTTTGAGACAGGGTCTTGCTGTGTAGCCCAGGCTGGCCTCAAACACATGGTCTCCTGAGAGCTGTGGTTATAGGTGTTTGCCGTCGAGCCCTAACAGTTCCTAGAGGAGCAGCTTGGCTCTCCAGGTTGCCTGTTATTCTGTCCGGATGGCCAACTGCAACTTCACTCTGGCGGTCCGCACCTTTCTGCAGCCTTTACTCTCTTTGAAGAGGTTTGGGGCTAGTGAGTAAGGAAGGAGATCACCATAGTTTACTTTGGTCAGTAAGAAATTAATTTTCCTCCTTAATTCTTGTATCGCCGTGAAGTAAGTGAGGTGCCAGCTTTCCCAGCTGACTTTGGTAAGTGGAGTTTCTTGTGACATAATCTGCTTTATGGCAGAAAAGCACTGGATGTGATATAGTGAGACTTTACAAGTAAGGCACAGCTGAGTTCGTGACACCTGGAACCCCAGCACTAGTGAGGTTGAGGCAGGAAGATCTAGAGTTGGGGAGCCAGCCAACCCAAAACGAGGTACAATTCAGGCTGTTCGTGCTGCTTGGCACTAACTTTCCATCTAGAAATGAGGGCGCTAATGCAACTAGCCAAATAGCTTATATCTTTCTTTTTCGTTTTTCTTTTTGGTTTCTTAAGACAGGGTTTCTTTGTAGCTTTCAAGCCTGTCCTGGAACTCACAGAGATCACCTACTTCTGCCTCTCCGAGTGCTGGGATTAAAGCTGCGTTCCACCACTGCCTGGCTTGCAACTAGCTTTTTAAAGCACTCGTCCAGCTGGGTGTGGTGGTACACTCCTTTAATCCTGTCACTAGGGAGCAGAGACAGGTGGCTCTCTGAGTTCGAGGTCAGCCTGGGTACTTAGGGAAACCCTGTCTGCAGAAAACAAAACACTTATCCAAACAGCTGAGAATCAGGACAGCAGAACACAAACCTGTGGCCTCGGTGAAGGGGGACTCAGGCCCTTGTCCCATGCCTGTTTCTAGCTATAACTTTGGGATGTCTTTGGGCTGTTACTGAGTCTCTTAGATGTCTGCCACGGGTCTCTCAAAAGTGACCAGGGCTACACTGGGGTCCTGCCTCAAAACAACAGAAGCTGGTCTTCCTGAGGGAGCCCATCTGATGAGATGCTGAAGATGCTGCTGAGCTATGCCCTCAGGGCGGTCCTAGTGGTAAATTGTTATCAGCTAGTGTGTACTTGGTAGTACAGAATAAAATGGTACTTTCCCCTCCTCCTTGTAGTATAGAGGGGGCCGAGGGACACCAAAGGTGGGCCCAGAGGGTGACACTGGGGAGTGCGGTCCTGAAGGAGTGATGTGCTGGAAGTGAAAGTCAGAGGCACTTGGCTTTCAGACCTTCTGTCCACACTTACTGGAGATTCTCTGGGCCCATCCGAACTTGTAGTGAACAAACAGGAAGTAGAAGATAAGTCCACTCAGTATGAACAGCACACAGTAGAGATACTCCCAGGCTGGCTTACTGATGATTGGGGCCAACACCAAAAAAATGGAGACGAGAATCACCAGGATAGGGATGACGATGGGCACCTGCAAGCAGAGCATCAGCACGTCAGCCGCACCGCCCTCGTTCCCTTTGAAACTGAGAAACCGCACACGTGCAGACCGAGCTCAGCGCCTTTGCCCATCTTTTCACCCCTTCCAACGCTGTCTTGTCTCTGCTAGGATCTAAAAAAAGCAGATGCTTCATTTGAGCTACAGAGTAAGTGTGCACCTCTAGCAGATTAAGGCTTCCTGCTTTCAACTTCCATATTTCCTCCTTGTCTTGGAGAAACTGGGTGATTGACAGCATGCAGTGTCTGGCTCTAGCTTTGGGGGATATGTTCCTCCGCAGGTTAACTCTCATTTCCTGCAAACAGGTGATTGGAGGTGAAGGAAGGAACACACACCTGGCCGTTCACATGCCTCGAGGGGGGCCTCTTAGATGTTCAGAGCCTGATGTGAGTCTAGGCTGCTCGCCATCTCTCTTTAGTCTTCAGACCAGACCTCAGTTTATTTTCTTAGTATGGATCTGGGCCTGATGCAGACTGAAGGAGGAGTTTTCATGTCACCTGTTAGTGTGTTTGATTCTGTTTCTCCTGCAGCTTTGTGAGCACCGTTGCTGGGAAGTGGGTGAGTAGGTTTCCTAGCTATTAACTCAGTTGTCATTTCTGGCTTTTAGCAATGCATTGTCTTTTTTGCATCTTTGTCTTAAGTGCTGTTTTGAGTTGTTTGAAAGAAAATGGCTCCCCCAAGGGAGTGACACTATTCGGAGGTGTGACCTTGTTAGAGGAAGTGTGTGCTGTGGAGGTGGTTTTTAAGGTCTCGGATATGCTCAAGTCACACCCAGCGAGACGGAAAACAGCCTGTTGCCTTTGGATCAAGTTGTAGGACTGTGAGCTCCAGCACCTGCCGCACTCAGCTCCCCGCCGTGGTGATAATGGACTAAACCTCTGAAACTGTAAGCCACCAACTCAGTTGAATGTTTTCTTTTATAACAGTTTCCATGGTCACAGTGTTTCTTCACAGCAATAGAAATCTTAACTAAGATACCTGATACTTCTCCCTCTCCCCTGTCTATGCCTCCCTTCACCCCAAGACAAGGTCTCATATAAGATGTATCCCTTGCTGGCCTAAGCTCATAGCAATCTTCCCTCCTCTGTTACTGAGTGCTGAGGGTGCAGGAAGGCCGGTTCCTAAGTACCCATCATTGTGTAAGCATAGCAGAACCGGGTAGAGGCGGGGTGCGGATCTTCCTGCAGCCTGATGCATGAGTTCACCAGCAGCTGTGTGGACCACAAGCCATCCTCTGAAATGAGCAGGAGGAGGCTCAAGAGCAGAGCAGGCAGGATGGCATCAGAAATGACTGCCTCCCATTTTCCCCCCCAGAAACCAAAGCTGCTGTGACATTCAAACACAGACTTACCTTGATGGGCCTTTCTAGGTCTTTCCTTGTGAATCTCATCACCACGAGTCCTAGAATTGTCATCCCATAAAACAGCCATGCAGCAAAACTGAAATAATTGACTAGGGAGTTGATGTCACCGGGGATGATGTAAATGATGGCTATGATGCCCTAGTAGGAAGAAGAGTGACATTCTAGGTCCTCGGTGTACAGACATTGTCCTTGTCCTCACAGAAGACAGAAGCAACAGCTTCCACTATGTGGGCCTGCCTCTGCCTCCCACCTGGCCGGCTCAGCCTGACTGAGTTGTTCTCAAGGCTCTACAAGAAGAGCTTGGACAACTTGAGTCTATAAAGTTGTGCCCTTGCATATGTACTCTCTCGCATGCATTGCGTGCATGCACATGTACACACAGTCTTTATAGCCCAAGCTAGCCTGGACCTTGTGATCTTCCCACCTCAGCCTCCTGAGTGCTGGGATTGTAGATATGGACCACCATGTCTGACCTAAAGTCATGATGTTAAGAAGAAACAAACTACACACATTTTGTGCACCAGTTTTATAAGGCTGACTTAACTTGGGGAGAGTTTTCGCTACAGGTAGTCAGCTGGTGAAACTCGGGTCCAGTTGGGACTGCATTTGTGGCCTGGGATGCCAGTTTCAGGGACTGTTTGCTCATCTTCAGAGTGGGGAAATGGACATCATTGTAGTCCTTTGGCCCTAAGCCAGGTCTACCTGTCCCTAAGAAACCACAGCCAAGTTAACAGGCTGAAGTCAGAGGCCATTAGCTGCCAGGACATGCCTTATTCCCCACCCTGAAGCTATAGGCCTTCATATTGTATGCCTCAGAACAGGTAAGTCCATACGTATAAGAAGCAGAGTGCAGGGGGCTGGAGAGATGGCTCAGTGGTTAAGAGCATTGCCCGCTCTTCCAGAGGTCCTGAGTTCAATTCCTGGCAACCACATGGTGGCTCACAACCATCAGTAAAGAGGTCTGGTGCCCTCTTCTGGCCTGCAGACATACACACAGACAGACTATTGTATACATAATAAATATTTTTTTTAAAAAAAAGCAGAGTGCATAAGCTTGGAAGATTCTGGGTTGTCTTGGGGAATGAGGGAGCCTGGCTCACTCAGAAAGGCCTGGGCTCGAGAGCGCATGTCTACTTCATCTACTGCAGAGAGAGATGGCCTGCTTTCTAGCCACAGCTGCTGCGGCTCCAGCTGTGTCAGGCAGCGCTCATACTTACATAAAATATGAGGGCAGGGGCGGGTGTGAGGCGCTTGACGCTGACATACGAGAGCACTTTGAGCATGTGGCCCTCTCGGCCTGCCACGTAGATGAGTCTGAAAGAAGAACGGGAGCACTGAGGTCGCTGGTGAGGATGCGCTAGCGTGTCCTCCAGAAGGGGCTGCAGGGCCAAGTATGGTGGCTACTGCACTGTGAGGAGCTCATCCCGGCTCTGTGGAAGTCATTAGGGCGGCGGGGGTGGGGGCATGGTTTATGAGTAGATACTTTCTCGACTCCCAAAGTTATGCAAGAAGAAGAAAAGCGTAAAGTAGTCCCGGGTGTGGAACCCAGCCGGGGCAGGGAAGCAAACACACCCTCTCCTGGGGCTCCCATGTTCTAAAGGCACACTAGGGTGCCTGAACAGACACGAGTGACAGACCCCTTTCCCAAATTCCTCCTCGTCCAGCAAACACTGTTTAAAATGTGAGGCGGAGATAGGTGAAAGCTCTAAACCATGTAAGAACGTTGCCATGCTCAAGAACTCGAGAGCACTTGCTGATCTTCCAGAGGACCCGAGCTCAGTTTCCAGTCCATGGCAGGTGAGACTCCTAATTGTCTGTGACTCTAGTTCAAGGGAATCTGACACCTTTGACACCCCATATGCCCTCACAGAAAAATAAAATGGGGGCTATAAAGATGGCTCAGGAAAGGATGCACACTCCTCTTGCATAGGACCCAACTTGAATTGCCAGTATGTATGCTGGGTGGATCACAAATGCCTGTAACTCCAGCTTCAGGGGACCTGATGCCTCTGGCTTCTGTGCTAGCCTACTCACATGCACATACTAACACACAGGTACACATACATGCACATACTAAAGGCACACATGCATGCACATACTAACACACAGACACACAAACTGAAAATTGACTATAAAATCTAAACAAACTATTTCTCAAGTATTTATGTCAGTAACATTTAGTTGGAAGCTCTGCTCTAGCCTCTTTACCCCAGGCCAGACTCAGCCCAGATGTTCAGCTGAGAACCAGGCCCCACTCCTCCCATTGCAGACTCCGCCCCAGAGAAAGTCTGCTAAGGGTCAGCTCCTCCCTTGGAGCTGCTCAAGACACCATCCTACAGGGTATTTAAGACCCGATCCCTATACCTGCCATGTGATTTCTCTCCTGCCTTTCCCAAAGACACCCGGGAGTTGCTTTGTTATGTTAATTAAAACCTGGTCTTATTAATTTGACTGGATTTGGTTGATTCCATTGGCAGAGAAACGACAAACCGAGGAGTTTTCAAAATACTTATCTAGCTACAGTGTGGTAAAATTACATAGGCCAAAGACATCTCCCCAGAACACCTTGGCAGCCTCTCTGAAAGACAGTCATGATTTAAGGAGAGGCACTGCCTGTATAAGGGCACATGCTCCATTAAGTCTTTTCTTAAGAGAAATGTCTACAACATAATTTTTATAATTTTGTAAGTAACTAAGGAAATCAGGCGGGTCTTATTTAATAGACTGGCCCCTTTTCATTATTGTTCGGGGATGAAATCAGGCCCGGGCACAGGCTGAGCACAGTTTTGCTGCTGAGCCACATCCCGACAAGTCTTGCTGCTTTAGCATCACAAATGTGGGACCCACTTTTCTCTCCTAAATACACACTGGATAAGGACTTAAAATTCATGTCAGCTGATACTTGGGGTTCTACAATCTAGATACACTTGTAGGTTTTATGTCAACAAAAGATAAAAATATAAAAGTTTATTTAGATTGTAGAACAACTTCAGCAACTTTAGCTTAGAGAGAAAAATCCATCCAGCTGAAAACCAGGGTCTTGCTGGGTAGTAGTAGCACGCGCCTTTAACTTTAATCCTAGCACTCAGGAGGCAGAGGCAGGCAGATCTCTGTGAGTTCAAGGCCAGCCTGATCTACAGAGCAAGTTCCCAGGCAGCCAGGACTTCACAGAGAAACCCCGTCTCAGAAAACCAAAAAATAAAATAGATAAAAATTCAAGTTATTATGTAAGCTAGTAATTTTATTCTTAGGAATTTATCCAAGATGAAAATATGTTTCACATAAAAATACATACATGAAAAAACAGATGAGTTCCATAACAATATTAAGCTTAAAGCCCAAAATAAAAATAACACAAAGTTCACTGGTGATAAAGCAGCATTGGTTACCATACAGGGGAGTGCTATCCTCAGGGAAGGAAATGCACTGATACACTGCAGTTTGGATGAACTCAGTCACATGCTGTCTGAAAGATTCAGCTGCAAGCATCATTTAGATGAAGGATACAGAACAAGCACAGCTGTGGAAGCAGGAGCCGTCTACCCAAGCGGGTAGGTGGAAGGAATAACAGATCAAGTAGAAGGAAATGCCTAGGGACGTTGTATATATGTTAAAACTGGGTTATAGATGATGCCTGCATGACTATGTTTAACACATGTTGTAAAATTACAAGAGCAAAGTCTGAGGGAACTTATAACGATACAGATGTCAGATTTTTATCTGTGCACTAGGTGTGGTGGTGTACACCTTTAATCGGCACTGGGCAGGAGGCAGATGCAGGTGGATCTCTGAGTTTGAGGCTATCCTGATCTACATAGTGTCAGGCCAGCTTGGGCTACAAAGTAAGACTCTCAGAATATTTCTACCTAAACTGCCAAGAGACTATTGGAAATGATATTTAAAACTTACATAACTAGCATGAAGAAATAAGCAGTGCTTTGGAATAAATATGGCAAAAGATGCTCAAGAACTGTATACTGAAAACTCAGAAACCTGAGGGGGTCGCAGTCTGTGCCCACGAGTTGGAAGACTTAGTGTTCACAAGATGTCAGTCTCCCCATGTGTATTGAAAGAGGCAAAAGAGAAGCACCAATTCCTCTATAGCAAGGAGACCTATCAAAACCATAGCACGTTTCTCTCAGCAGCAGTTTTAAAAGCCAGGAGGAGGGACTTAAGATTGCTGAGTGGGCAAAGGACCCTGCTTCCAAGCCTGTCAACCAGAGTTCGGGCCACAGAAACCATATGATGGACAGAACTAACTTCCAAACATTGTCCTCTGACCACCCCCTCCCTCATGTGCGCGAGATGTGTCCACCCACACTCAAGACCCATACATGTAATTTTTATAAAGCCAAGGGGTCTTGAAATGAGAGAATTATCAACCTACATGCCTATACCCAGCAAAGGTATATGTTATAATTGGAGAAGAAAAACTTCCTATAATAAAAACAGACTAAAGGAATTCATTACCACTAAACCAACTCTACTAAAGATACTTGAAGGAGCTGGGCGGTGGTGGCACACCTTTAATTTTAGCACGGGGGTAGGGGTGGAGGAGGGGTGGCAGAGGCAGGTGGATTTCTACAAGTTCGAGGCCAGCCTGGAGCTAGTTCCAGGACAGTTGTTACACAGAGAAACTTTGTCTCAAAAAAAAAAAAAAAAGGAGGGAAAAAAGATACTTGAAGGAATCTTTCAGAAGGAAGTGAAAAATGGCAGCATCTATGAGACTATGGGAAAGAATAATCTATGCTACAATAATAAAACTAGGAAAACCTCAAACACTCCGAAATCAGAAAATGACAGGTACCAATGCACACATTTCAATAACAGAATCTATACGGTCTTAATTCCCTGATTTAAAATACACAGGCTAGCAGGTTGACTCAGAAGGGGATCATGCTGGACATGCTGGTGCACGCCGATAACTCAGGCAGAAGCAGGTGCTGTGAGTTCAGGACAGCAGGCAATGTGGAGAGACCCTGACTCAAATAATTAAAAGTGGGCCTTATCCAACTGTTGCCTCTGAGCAATGCATCTCTCCAGAAAAGACACCGTCGGGTGAGAGAATGGGAACGGTATTTAAAGCAGATGGTATGGGCAATAAGCAGGTGTTGCTGTTCTAATATATAACAAAATAGACTTCAAACTAAAATTGGAAGGTCACTGATTAAGGAAGCCCATAAATCAACAGCAAGGAAAAAAACCATAGAATATACACAGACGCATGAACTTCCCACTATACACTCAGGCGACTACATGGCATCTACAGCAACAAAGTTAGATTAGCTGGAGTTACCTCTGCCCTGCACAGAGACTCATATTGATGGGCAAAAGATGCTGCAGAAAGATGATAAGAGAATGAGATGTCAGGACCTCCCTTTAAAAAGTTAGCTCATGCAGAGGCACTGTGATATCTTATGAGCAAAGAAGAAAAGAAGGCCAGGATTAGACATATAAACAAATTCTATAAAGATACAGAATATATATATTATGCCAGAATTTGTAGCATCTCTGGCCTGAGAATTTTTCTTGGCCACTCTGACCAAAGAATTAATAATACTGGCCAGGCGGTAATAGTTCATGCCTTTAATCCCAGCACTTGGGAGGCAGAGGCAGGGGATCTCAGTGAGTTCAAGGCCAGCCTGGTCTATAAAGTGGGTTCCAGGACAGCCAGGACTATTGCACAGAAAAAATCATGCCTCAAAAAAAAAAAAAAAAAAAAAAAAAAAAAAAAAAAAAAAAAAAAAAAAAAAAAGTCAAAATAATGGTGATATATATGTAAGCGGAGACTGCGTTTTGGTTTCCCAGCCACCTAGACCCAAATAATAACACAGAAACTATGTTAATTTACAACACTGTTTGACCAACAGTTCAGGTGTTTCCTAACTAGCTCATGTATCTTAACTCATTTTATTTAACTTAATCAATGTTTTAATTTATTTGGAAACAATCTAAGTATATGGACCAGAGTGGTCTGACACTAATGCAGATTTGCCTGCACCATCAGTCTCCAAATCCTGAGATTAATGGCCTTGGTTTGGACTGTGCCATGTTGGCAGGAGTTGTGGGCTCAGAACTGACGTCCTCCTGTGTGTCAGATCCTCTGCTGTCCACTGACTGAGCTGTCAGAAGTTGAATTAAGGACTCTGGCTACAGCTGTGGCAGGAACAGAAGCTTCCACGGTGGCTGGCCATTCATCCTCTGATACATAAGTCTTGTCTTCAGCTACTATGGGTTGACCAGAGTCAGGAACTGCAGCAGGGGCATGACTGTCAAGCAGGATCTCTTGGGAAGTACCCCCAGCATCTTCTATGGCCTGATCATCATGATGAGGATCTTGCAGCCTGGGGTTGAGTTTGGGAATTGGACCCACCATGGATGTGCCCTGGATGTATCAGGATCTCCCATCTTGCCTGGATCCCTGCTAGCAGTTGAAACCAAATTAACCCATTTCTGTTACTCTATGTATCACCGTGAGGCTGTGGCCTACCGGTAAGGTTCCGGTGTCTTTCTCCTTCAGCAGCTACATGGCATCTCCTTGACTCTGCCTACTCTCTATATATCTCTGTTCGAATTTTCCACTTGGCTTTATTCTGCCCTGCCATAGGCCAAAGTAGCTTCTTTATTAACCAGTGGTAATAAAATGTATTCACAGCATACCGAGGTGAATCCCACATCATATATATTTTAATTTTTTATATACAGTCTCTGCATAGCCCTGGCTGTCCTAGAACTCACTCACTATGTAGACCAGGCTGGCCTTGACCTCAGAGATCATCTTGCCTCTGACTCCCAAAATTAGGATTAAAGTCATGCATCTCTGTAGCAGGAGGCTTTTCTCTGTCTTGTCCAGGCCCACTGGACCAGTTTCTCTCCTGCTCACTGGCTGGTCCCTGCAACCGCTTATAATCAATCACTCAGAGGCTAATCCTAATATAATTGCTTGGCCTATGGCTTAGGCTATTATTAGCTAACTCGCACTTGTAAAATAGCCCATTTCTAAGTGGCCATGTAGCTGTGGCATTATCTTAAGTGTTCTGGCCTCCTGTTCTATGGGCAGCTCACTGGCATCTCTCTCGACATGCCTTTCTTATTCCCTAAATTTAGTTTGGCTTTCCTGCCTGTCTCTATTCTGTTTTGCCATAGGCAAAAGCAACTTCTTTATTAACCAATGAGAGGAATACATATTCACAACATACAGAAGGACACCACCACTCTTGACTGCAATATATATGTATATATAGAGAGAGATCTATATCTTTTTATAGATAATATATTTTTCTATAGATAATGTATTTATAGATATATAGAGAAAGGTCTATAGATCTAATATACCTGTTTATGTCTATTACATATATATGTATAGATCAATATCTAGATCTTTATATCTAGATAGATAGATATAGAGGGGGCAGACACAGTCACCTGAATGAAATAATCTATGGGTAGCTAATAGGAAAAATCAGAGAGTGTTGTGTTAGATGTAATAGGCTTCTGTGTGCATAAAAAAAAAGATGTAAATGGATTTTTTTAAGAGAAGGTTTATTTATTATGTATACAATATTCTGTCTGTGCATATGTGTGCAGGCCAGAAGAGGGCACCAGACCTCATTACAGATGGTTGTGAGCCACTATGTGGTTGCTGGGAATTGAACTCAGGACCTTTGGAAGAACAGGCAATGCTCTTAACCGCTGAGCCATCTCTCCAGCCCGTAAATGGATTTTTTTAAAGCCACATCTTAGTCTTAACCTCTCAACCACCTATTCCTACCTCAGAACTGGAGAGTCACTGGCTTGCCCCTACCTCAGTGATACTTCCTTTTGTATGTACAGTATTTCTAGAAGTTGGCCCAAACTGGTAACACAGACTCTGGGAAGACATTTCTAGGAAACCGGTGGGGAGGAAGTTAAGCTAGCTGTGCACTTGGTTCTTCTGTTTAGTGGGATGGCACAGCCCTTCTTCCCAGAGGTTCGGTGAGCTTGAAGGAGAGGCTGTGTTGAGTAAGTGAGAGTGTGTCTTCCTCTGCTCCCATGTGCTTACTTGGAACAAGAGCACACTGGGCAAAGCTGACCGGCCCTGCACCGCCATTGCCCATTAAGTCACAGAGGCTCCGTGGAGGTCCAACTTCAGTTGACAAGCAGGTTGTTTAATGTCTATGCCCTCTTTTGCCGGAGTCTCCTTAAGTCCAGTTAACCTCTGGCTCTTCTTTCCAGGACACCTACCACAGTGGAAGATGCCATATGTCTGCAGGGCACTCAGCAAGGAGATGGAGACACAGAAAAAAGTGCTGCTTCCAAGGTGGACTTGGACACCCAGAAGGCTGGTTAGTGCTGCATTTAAGTCGAGATTTTCCCATATTTAGGCTTTCCTTTTGAAATGGCTCTAGCAGGCCTGAGCTGGCAAATATACCTCTGGCAGGTCTTGTCCTCCCCCATTCCCTCTGTCTTACTAAACTGTTAGATTATATTCCTAAAGCTAGTCACTAAGGCCCGTTCCCATCTTTGACTACTTCTTCCTCCTGAGACTGACTACCAAGGTCCAGTATTGAAGTCCAATAAAACGTCCCTTTTGGGCTACCCTAGTTTGCATGCCCTATCAAAACAAACCAGCTCAGGGGTTTCCCCTTTCTCTTTATAGCCTGCCATTTGCCTATGGGTCTGTCTGTCTCTCTATCCAGAGGCAGTCCTTTGTCCCTCTGGGGCGAATATCCCTCCCCCCCCCCCTTTCTTTCCCCTTCTCCCTTGTCCTCTGTCTCCTGTCTTTGTCTTTTATTCCCTCCCTACCTCTGGGGCAAATAAATCTCCTTTGTTTTGAAACCTTGGTCTTGGTGAGTCCTATGCCCATTCTGGTCTTTCCACGCTTCCCTGTGAGGTGCGGAGCACAGTGCTGTCTGTCAGCCATTCTTCTACAGTGCTGCTTCGGGTTTGTCTCTGTGCGCATCCTCGGCTGGATGTTTCCAGAGCCCTCCCTAGTGATCAGCTCTTCTTATTCCCATCCCTATCAGTTTTGCTGAATTCAAAGCCTGTGGCTTCCTCCAGTCATTAGTATTACAGCCAGAGTTGGTTTTGTTTTTGTTTTGTTTTTAATTGTTAGGTTATAGTCTATAATTTGAACATACCAGAGTTTATTGGGAAACACTAAGGTTGTTTCTCAGGAGGGTATATTGTGATGAAAGCTGCTTAACCCTTATTTTTTACATTGCTGTAACTGAAACCTAGAGCCTTGTTTTAAGTTTTGAATGATAATTTTAAATATTTTAGGTAGAGAAGTCTAAATTCCATTGTCTTAGAAAATGTTTGCTCAGCAGCAATTCCATCTGTGTGTTGAGCTGCTCTGGAAGCCTGCAGGTTAAGGAAGCACAGGAAACCTGGGTTTCTGTGTGCACACCGCCAGCAGTGGGGCACAGGTCCTCTTTCACAGAGCACTTTACTCTCCTGGAAACTTTACCATTTGGAAGTCTGTTATATGTTAGATAGTGTTTCCTAAATGATGTGCATTTTACTTTCTTCTAATCATTATTTGCTGCATTATTTACTGCTAGATACCTAAGTTTTTATGACATTATACTCTTTTTGTTTGCTTTTTGAGACAAGGTCTCTACATATCTCTGGGTGTCCTGAATCTCACTATGTAGACCAGGCTGGTTTCCAACTCACAAAAATTGGCCTGCTTCTGTGTGCCTAAGATTAAAGGTGTGGGCCACCACATCCAGCTGAAATTTATACTCTTAACATAAATTCTTCATGTAAAAGTTGCCTTGGGTATTAAAAAAGTGTGCATCATAATATAAATAACCTGTGGAAATTTTAACATTGATTTTGTCCAGAAGTTTTATCTGAAGACACTGGCAGTGACTCCATCAGCAGAACTCCACAACCACACATGAGAAGGTACGTGCTGCTGCGCCTGGGCCTCCCTAGACGCTGCGGTGAGCTAACAAGTGCAACCCCTTTCTTTCCTTCTAGCTTTTATCCACAGATAAAGTGGTTCCAGAAAGATGATGTGGTCATCTTAAAGATAAAGATAAGGAATGTCAAAGATTATAAGTGTAAATTCTTTACAGATAGAGTCATTTTCAGGTAGGTCTGTGTGTGTGTGTGATAAAGTAAAATTGAAATCACACACTACATTTTAGATGGCCAACTTTATTTCTTTTTGTAAACCCAGTGCCTGGGTAGGAGACAAGTTTTACTTGGCTGATATGGAGCTGCAAGGTGACATAAGGAAAGATGACTGCAAGTGTGTAATTAAAGACAATGAACCTCTAATCACACTTGCAAAGGAGAAACGGGCACACTGGCGCAGCCTGCTCAAGCAGAGGGTGAGTTGGCATGCCTGTACTGGCTGCGCCTAACTCTGAGCTCTTTACACTTACTGACCTGCGTCCACTGTTTGTCACACAGCATCCTAATGTGGCTTTTGACTTTGATCACTGGGAGGAATGTGAAGAGGACAGCCCCTTCTCCAAGGGTGAGATGGGCAGCCCTGCTCCTGGGCTTGGGGGCTGGGGCAGTGAAAGTGGGTTGACATACCAGCTGTTCTTAAGGTTTCTGCCTTTGTAGAAATAGGCTGGTAATGTAAGTTCCTAAAAACTGGAGTTGATTTTGGTGCCAAATGTTCTGGTATGGGTACATAATGATATTTAGTGATAAATATGCTTCTTTAAATATTTTGAGTGCAGAGGATAGAACCCATATATGGTAGGAAAGCTCAATGGAACTATACCATCAGGTCTTAAACACACCTGAGAAACTCTTACGATATCCTTTCCAGGAGAACTACTTGCTTATGAGCAGAGGCATTTTACCTGTCATTGCTTGCTTAAATAATTTGTGAGGAAAACAGAGGTAGACCTATGGGACATTTGCTGCAGTGACCAAAATAATGGGGGCGGGCAGTTCACCTATACTAAACCATTTTTAATAATACCAACTCTTCTAGTTGTAAATTCTAAAAACCTGTCCTGCAAAGTGGCAGTGTTAGCTGAGAACAGCGGCACCTCTTCCGACACTACTGATGGGAGCGACAGCGAGTGAGCCTGTGAGAGGGCTGAAGAGAGC